ACAACGAAAGGCTGCCTGCAAGCAGCAAGCTGCAGAGCTCATATGAGCAACCATAGAGAAGGATGAAGAAGTCCCACCGCTAGGCTAGGATCGGAATCAGTAGCTCGTCGTGCTCAGCTCAGCATTACTCAACCATCTCTTCAAAATGGTCCTTTTCAGGACCACCATAAATTTGTTAAGAGTATTATTTGGACATTTGTCAAGGTCATCAGTTACAGCAAGCAGCTAGCTATCAAGGCTCAACCTGGTCTCTATATAAGGTGTGGAATTGTAGGCCCGAATGTATTGGTGAGAATAATCATCGTCCGACCATTTTCCAGAACACGCTGGTAGGAAGTGTTAAAAGTCCATATAGAATTTGAGAGAAGTGGGAATAATTCGCTTTGGGTGTATATTCAGTCCCCAGAAAGCCAATAAAATCAAATTTGTGAGAATATTAGCTCTCACGAGTTCAATCTCTCGAAGTCCCTCCTTTTTTACATATTCTGCACAAACGATACTTTCCGCCCCGCCCCATTCATATAATTCGGAAGGAAATCCTGTGAGGGGTAAATTGAATACACTTTAATACCAAAATGCACAAAACTAAAAAATTCATAAATAACAAAAAAATCAAAATACACCTTTTAAAGTCGGGTAGATGAATGGAAAATACTCAAGTTGACTGTCCCTTGGATTCTCTTCATCAACTTTCTCTTTGAAATAAATACTACATATTTGATACGCTTACAAATAAAAAACGGAAAGAGTTAAGATAATTGATGACTGATCAATTAAAAGAACTAAATGTTCACGTTTGTTCCGTCCCCTAGCGGTCCTACGTCAAGCTTCCGTTCGTGCCTCTAGGCACAGACCCTTCTACTTTTTTTAAATTCTTTGGAACAAACTGATCGATTGCTTTCAGTAATATGTTACAAACAATGCTAGCAGCTCGGTTCACATTGAAATGACGTATTAATACCTGTGAGAAAAGAGCTCAAACTGGCGTAATTGGCATCAACGAAAGTACTTCGAACATGACACTGCAACGAAAAATGGAGCTCGAATCATGCTGTAGTGAGTACCGAGTTCTTCACTAACAAAACAGAGGTCCAACAAACGATCCTTTTCGTTCATGGCTGGAAGGAATGGACGGAACAGGAGTCGTTGAATCGATAACAGAAGTTGGCTTGCCTATGCTGTCGAGTTGGAAGACCCCTGCACTACTCACGTAGCAGAGCCGGGACAACTGCTGAACGCTGACTGGAATGGCTCGACTGTGGTGGGAGGTATAAGGGCTGGCCATGAAGCCAACTTCGGTGCGTCCCAGTGTACAGTCTAAGACCACCCGCAGCAATGCGTTGCTAAAGCTATTTTAGCAACCCCCACCATAACGCAGCAATGGGTTTGAATCTGGAACCAGGGACAGCAAAGCGGTAAAAGTAGTCAATTTGTAAAAAAATAAAATAGAGTTCCGCGATTTTTAGAATCAAATTGTTGGGATTTGCATGGATGAATTTGCAGTTGAGACCAGGATGTGCACTCTGGTGACTACGGGACGGTCCTCGGGAACATCAGTAAAGGTGGTCTTAGCGCCCCTCGGTGATACTTTGTAGGGGAGCGAGCTGTCAACTTCTTAGATTTGTGTTAAACAGTGAAGTTGTTATTTAGCTTAAAAGCTCGATTTAACAATCGAGACGGAAGTAAATGGGATTGAAAAAAACAGTGGAGCTTTAGAATCTTTTTAACTAATTGATCTTCCGGACGACCGTTCCGTGGCCAGCAGAGTACACATAATGTTTTCTTAAATTGAAGTCGCCATCTTGGATTTCAAAATGGTGTTGGTCATCGATTTCCGGCCTATTGATGTGTAAACAAGTAAACCTGACACTAATAAAATTTACAGCCCCGTGCACAGTTCTATGCGTATACGCTTAAATCAGTGAACAAACAATTGAAAGTGATGGTTGATAGCTTCATCGTCGTTTGACAATTTCTCATCCCATTGTTTCATAATAACAAAAATAGCATTTTAGCTGTAATGAGCAATTGCAAGCCTGCCGGCAATTCAGGAACAAGCTGGTTGACGAGCACTGTGCAGCGAGGTGGTTTGTCACTTATTCTGTCATGGCGTTCTCTTGATGATCCGGGTGATTGGGTGACTCTGTGCTGAGGGATAAATTATCATTTGGCGTTGGAGAAGGGTGCAAACAATTTGTAACGGTCCTGTTATCCTTGAACTCACGGAATAATATTCCCTTTGGCTACGTTGCAGTCGAATGAGCCTTTCAGATCAGGACTCATACCGAGTTTGAACTAAATGAATGACAGATTACTGACAACCTTACTGTTAGTGACTAGTCTGAATGTCTCAAAGTCATTTGTTCCTAACTTCTGCATCACCAGCTCACGTACTTAGTGCACTGTGACGTCACGAGAAACACGCGAAAGGTATAGCCAAAACTTCTTCATGAAAGGTGGTACAGCGAAAGTGCTGTTAGAAGAAGATATTGAGCTTCAAGTTCCACACATCAAATCCTGTTGACGGCGTTTGGCAGGTTCAGGTTTATGAAACAATCGTCGTCTTCGCAAAGACCTAGTGGCATTCGTAGTACGAGTTGATGATTTTGGAGTAAGTGCACTGGAATTGAGTGAAGTTTAGAGGAAGTTCACTTCATCGAGAAATCATTACAAACGTACCGTATAAATTGCGACTCAGCGGGACCAACCGCGTAAAAAACATGTAAAATAATTTAGTGTACTGAACAATGATTCTAACTCAAAATCGATAAAAATAAAGATAGGACTGAGTTCTGGCTACCGGCAGTAAAACGCTATTGGCTATGAAAACACAAACTTATATAAAATGCACATAATTGCTTGTAACCGGAAAAATAACCATAACCCTAAGTAGCTAATAACAATATTAAATCTGCCGGTCTTATTCAAGGAAAAAATTCCATTGTTAAAGTTAAAATTATGTCAATAATGGCTAAATCGACTAAAACTATCTAAAGTAACCTTGAAAGCAAAAAAAGCCTTAAACTTTCAAATTTTCCGGAAAACACCCTAAAGGTGCTTCCAAAGAAGACATGACACGTACGCGACGTGACCTACGAAAGAAATAATAATAAATAACACGATTCTTTTGCATTGGTCACGTCATGTGATTAAAAATTAAATGAATGGCAAAATAGATCTGAAGACTATATTTTACAGCCAATTTACATGCAAATATAAGCTTAGCATTTAATTAACTAATTAGGCAAGACCAACAACTAATAAACTTAAAATAATCACTTGAGTACTTCCCACATTAATTAATTGATGTAATATCGTTCTACGTTTGGTCGAAAAAAAATATAATATGAACCATACATGCACTTATCAAAACCTCTCTTCCCATCTTAAAGTGTTTAAGGACAGCTCTTAATTTAAAAGTGTTTATGAAATGTTGCGCAACGGCGCCGGTGGTGTAGTGGTAAGCGTGATTACCTCTCACCCCAGCAGGCCTGGGTTCAATTCCAGTCGGCGCCGCCGGGATGTTCTGAGGCATAACATCTCTGATCACTCCTTCCTTCGGAAGGGAAGTAAAGCCGTTGGTCCCCGGTTCATGAGTTGATGGGTCGATAGGTAGGGTCCAGGTGTGGGAGCTGCCTTCCTGGCACGTCGGTAGCATTGGTGCTCAGCACGGAAAACAAGATCAACGGAAAAAACAAACCAAAGGAAAAAAAAAAAAAATGTTGCTCGAAGTATCTGTAAGATCCATTTTCTTTTTTTTTAAGGTCTGTCGTTTGCACCCCTTTTCTTCTAGCCCTTTTAATTATGAAGATTGTAAGCAGCATTCTTCCTCATATTTTTTAGGACACCACTTAAAAATAAAATCGATTTTTAACACTCATTTCATTACTGAATTAGATATCAAACATTTGATATCCTGTTATAATTGAAACATGAAAGTGACAACAAATTTAGTTTGTTGCCATATTTATAAAAACGTGTTGATAACTTATTTTGATAAATATTAACGAAAATGCCATCATTTATTCGTGATCAGTAGAGCTAGATTAATTTTCATTTTGATAATCTTCACATACCATGTCGATAGAAAATCTGTCATGGCAGTTTTACATGTCAAAATGGCATTATTACGAGTTTAAGAAGCAGTTTCCAAAAACTATAGAAATACTTCAAGGAACGGGGTTGACCGCAATGGTGACGTAGGACTACGTGGTCTTATATAATAAATCTTATTTGTTAACTGCAGCAGGAGCTTGTGTAGGAATAGGAATTTGAGCGGGGTTCTCTCTGTTATACTGTTTAGTATGACGCGCTTGACATAGATGGCCCACAGCGACTCACGAAGAGCTACTGATTCCGATCATTAGCTGTGCGGCTTCTTCCTCCTTCTATGCATGGTCACATTGGCCTGCAGCTCGCCGCTTGCAGGCAACCTTTCGTTGTGAACTGGAGAACACCACCGCTCACCGCACGGTGATTGAATAAACATCGTTTGGTGAGACAGGATGGAATTCAACTTTGAAATCTGTGGCAGGGAAATCGCTTTTTGAAGGCAATCGGTGATAATTTTAATGATCATAGGAACAGTTGTACATTTTTGCAATTTTCAGTAGTGAAATTTTGAAAAATGATAAAGTCCTAACCTTAACAGATGCGTAGGAATATTTTTGATCAATTGGTGATAAAATTACTGAAATTGGTCCAGGGGCAGCTGAGTTATTAACGTTCAAAATGTTTCATAATTTTGTTACATGTTCCATTTTCGGTTTGCACAAAGTGTACCCCCATATAGAAATCACAGACGTAGTCCTACGTAAAAAATGTATTAAAATTCATAAAGCAGTTTTCGATTGAACATATTTTACATGCTGTGCCAAAAGCTTCAGAATGACAATGAACCATCTTGTAAAGGCTAAGAATTATCTTGTCAAGACATTGCACGACATTCACTTGCATTATTTATCAGCCCTTCTAACATCTGCCGGTATCCACCATTTCAGACGGTCCACTACCCAGCGTCCTGCAGGAGGTGACGGTTCCTGTGATCGAGAACAAGATCTGCGAAACGATGTACCGAAGTGCGGGCTACATTGAACACATCCCGCACATCTTCATCTGTGCCGGTTGGAAAAAGGGCGGCTACGATTCCTGCGAAGGTATTCAAAATCGTTTTCATACGTTCAAAACTCTCTAGTTAATCTTCCGCCCCCGAAATTTCAGGTGACTCCGGTGGCCCCATGGTGATCCAACGGCCGGACAAGCGCTTCCTTCTGGCCGGTGTCATCTCGTGGGGAATTGGCTGTGCGGAACCAAACCAACCCGGCGTGTACACGAGGATATCGGAGTTCCGGGACTGGATCAATCAGATACTGCAATTCTAGGCGAGAGCAAATGGCATCGGAACAGTGAAATACAACGAATCTACGTACAAGCAACCACCCGTTGGGAGAATTAGGCTGCATTTCGAGCCCAGTCGGTGAACCCGACAAGGAAGAATGGCCGACTGGAGCTGGGGAAAGCAGTGTTCAGCAGTATTCGCGAGGCACATTTATACAAGCAGAAGAGAAAGAGGATCGGAACAAAGTCCAGGAATTTGTTCCTTCAATTGTTGATTTGTTTTTAGTTGGCTAATAGGTGTCACCCAGGAGGGGCAAGGTAAATGCATTGATCTGTCGATGTAATCGACCGTTGAATGGTGCTAGGTTTTTGAAACACTCAATCAACCTACCTGCGAGGGTAGCCGGATTTCATCGATAGATCGATAACGATAACTAGGAGAGAAAAAAAGGAAATCTTTGGAACAAGGGAAAACACTTTTAATGAACACAAATCGCTCAAAGCAACAACCAGTGAACGAAAACACCTCAAAAGTATCAAGAAACTGTACTCGTTATTATTTTTTTTTATTGGAAAGCAAAAGTAATCTTACTGCGCTAGAGTTTTAAACTACGGAAAAACCAATCGTAACTACTGTGGCGTGAAATGAATCGAATTGTTGGTTCAATTGTGCGAATGAGAGAAACATTGTGTGTGTGTGTTGAATTGTACTTTTAGACAATCTTATCTAAGTTGTGATAATTGGTTGTGAATGGATGGTGGATGCGAGTATTTTTAAAAGACATCGAAGAGTGATTGAGTTGTCGGCAAAAATGAAAAAAAAGAAGGAAAACTTTGATTGCCGCGATTTTAGAATAACGAAATTATTTATTTATTTATATTCATAACAAAAACTATAAGTTAAACGCAAATCATCAAGCAGTTCATTGTAACTACAGAGCTATTTCCAAACTAGGAGGATTTACAATGACAGGCAACGGAAGCGACTGGGCAGAATATCGGATGCCGTGTACGGAAAAACGGAAATCCAAACACCGGGCAAGTCGAAACGAGTGGATGTTAATTTTAACGACGAATATTGTTTGTAAATACGTATTTGTTAAGGATTGGACACGATGAAAATATATTTAAATTTTGTACAATATTTATGAGAATAAAACTTTGTTTATGTATATGAGCTAAAACAAGAAAACAAAACAAGAAGACACGATGACAGGTGCTTGTTGCTTTGCATTATGTAGGAGGAGTTTCCTAACTGCTATGCAGTACAATAGACTGATGCAACATTCGAGTTCTGATTAGTCTCTAAAATTCAAACTCATTTGATAAAAAAAAACTGACTTGGCACAAACCATTTGAAGGTTATATGGACATTACTATGGGAAAACATCAGAATTTTGTATCAATCTAGTGTACAATAATGAAAGTATCACAGCGCACAGTGAGCAAAAATTGACAAAACCGCGACTAAATTGAATATCTCAGCTGCCAAACAATTTCAGTCAACATGTTATACATATTCTCAAGAGAAAAACTCTGCTGAATCGATTGGTGGTGGTCTCATTGGCCGGAGATTTTTGCGTACCGAGATAGAGGGCCGGGAACAACCCGAGTTCCCGGTAATGTAGGAAATGCCTCTATTTATCGACATAATTTTACACTTTACTTAACGTATATTACTATAAATTCATAGCACTAAGTAAACATGGTGTTTGGTTTTCGGTCCAATCAAGAAGTGCCATCCCGAAACTTTCTCGAATTTTCGGTGTTTTTTTTTCAACCGAACTTTTTCTTAGACTCGGCATGTAAACAATTCCGACTACCTTGAAGGAAGTTCCCGATCTATTTCAGGGTGAACTATTGAGCTACAAAATGATTTTTTCGCGGAAGATTTATTTGCAATAAAGCACAGGGTTTTATCAGGGATACCCTATATGGTTATTTTCCTAATTTGTAGAATTAGCCATGTGAGCTCTACTGCCGTTCGTGTAAATGAATCAGTGTGTATCTGGATTTTCCACGATGTTGCAGACGAAAATGGAATATTGTACCACACTAGTAGCAATGGGCGATCTTGGATCGAAACACAAAATATCGATGCTTTTGGTTCGGTTAATCGATTTTTTTTAATCGATCTCAAACACGACAAAAATCGACTGGATCAATCCTTTTCATTCGATTTTTGTTTCGATCCAACAAAAAAAAAAATTCAGTGCATTTGTCTATGCAATTTAATATTGGAGTCTTCAGCTCACGCTTGGGCAGTTGAAATTGTGTCTGAGCAGATCTATAGTACCGAACGATGATTGCACAAATCTGTCCCCCCACCAAAACCAACCGGAGGCCTGTGGGATATTCATGACGAAATGGTAAAGAAAGTTATTAATCTACTTATGAACAAACATTCACTTCTTACGATATAGGGAGGAGGATTAAAAACATAGCATAAGTTAAACTAGTCTGTACGACACTGTCGAAGACGAAGAACAAATAAACAAATAAACAAATAAACAAATATTTCTGGTTCATCAGTCCTCTGCTATGTCAGAGCTGGATCGCCATGGGGGCATATCGGCAGAATTACAAAATTTCTTGCATCAGCCTGTTTTCCCACGTTCTGTCTATCTTTTTGGATGATGGGGAGAAAATCCGTAGTGTATATCCCCATGTAAACCCCATTGCTCGAGACTATTTATCAAGAATGGTAACAAGTGTTCCATCAGAGAGGCTATTTTTCAAAACTTGTGAAACCACACAGAACCTATATCGACTCAATGCAAAACGCATGGCTCAATTAGCTTTCTTGGGATCCCTCTCGGATGAGTTTTGAAATTAAGTACTTTTTTTATAATCCATTTATTTGTCAAGGCTCAAATGCGTTAGATTTGCGGAGCCGAATATTTTTTACAGGAATATCATTTCTTACAACTAATGTTAGTAGAACGGGGGCCGATTACTCGCGGCTTACTCGAGATTAGGGATTACATTTATTGATGATTTGGAGGGAGGACAAGGGAAAGCATTTTGAACTAATTTAAAACATAAACGTAAAGGATGACTAAAACACAAAACATTAAACACATACATCAACAGCTTTAAGAGCATGAGCATGATTGACCGCCCACGGTTGCTACTATGTTATTGTCAGACCAGCTGTAATTACACACAGAACCAATAGACGATGCTTGGGACTAGCAATCATCCTCAATGTGTAAAAACTGGTGATCTACAACTAGGCAATACCAGCGCCGGCCGCGCCCGAACACAGGTCAAGAAAGGAAGGGGTAGGAATGTGTTGACGCGACACTCGCTTTAATGGAAGCCGAGAACACCTCTGCACTTCCACGAGGAATCACTGGGATATTGGGTAATAGGGTTGGGTTTGCAGCAGGGTTCGTTTTGATAAACGATAAGCTGAATTGATGTCCTAACAATCATATAACGCGAAGAAGCTTGGGATTGAACCCACGGTCTTCTGCTCATTAAGCAAAAACGTTTGTCACTAGGCAGACGAGCTCCTTTTTTATCATCGAGTTGCTGTTATTAAAATGTAGTCATGTTAACAAATAAAACAATTGAAGAATCTTGAATGTGGATGGGCTTGAGATTAGACTCATGATGCTCTGCTCAGTAAGCAAAACCGGTTGCTCTAAGGCCACCGAGCCCCTCATATCACATTATAGCGTTACTCAAGTTTTTATGACTATTCAGACCCGGCACCGATGACAACGAAAAGTTTTACGAAATAAACGATAAACAAGCGATCTAACCAAACATTTTTAATATGAAAGGATCTGGGACCGCGTTTTTCTGCTCAGTAAGCAAGCCACTGCAACCGACGATCTTTGAAATCCTTAAATTAAAAGCTATGAAAGAGGTCTTCATTAAGATCCATTTTCTCGCGACGTTAAATGTTTCGATTTTCTCTTTACGCATGGTTCAGGTAATCATAACAAGCTATAACCGACGTGACGATTGTTTAAGACCTGGTTGAACAAGCTATTCAAATGAAATTACGTTCTCGAATTTTACTTGGCATGTAATGAACAAAAGAAATAAGCGATAATTCATATTTTCAGCGGTTGGTGGTTAATTTTAAATATACTAACGGTACTGCCTACGACTACGACGGCGATTACGACAGCGACTACGAAGGCGCCTACGACAACGACAACAGCGAATTTGCAACCTCCCATTTGTCTAGGATAAACACCTTTGCCCGGCACCTCCACTGGTTCTTCATGTCCGCTATCTGTCACTGTTTGCAAAATATCTAAAAGCCATTACCTTCCAATACCAATACTCCCTGTATTGCCATGGTCATCTGGGAGGAGGGTCGCATCTAGTGCATTCCTTAGGAACTGTTCACGGCCACCAGCTACTGCCCGTTCAGTCTTGGGCGTATCCAGCGAGGCATCTTTCAGATTACTTACAATTTCCGACACTCAATGCAAATCGCAGGCACACTTACGCTAGTTACAAAAAAAAACACACCCGTGCAAAGAAACGGATCAAATAAACGTCACTCTCGCGAAAGCACACCCGTCGTCGTCGAACGGCAAAAAAAAGGAATCGGTGGGCAATTTTGTGATACGGATCTCCAAAATCAACCGGGAATGCACGAATTTCACCACACCCAAGTACGAAACACGTTCAGAAGCACTTTTGGTACACTTTCGTTCGAAAACACTTAATTTTTTTTTCAAAAATAGTTGCGAGTGAACCAACATCATCACCGCGTAAATAAACTAAAATTAAAATTATCGCTCGCGATGCCACAAATTTCTGGACCGGGAGAAAAAATCAAATAACGCAGATAGCGTCAAATCTTCTGTTTCTTGCAAACATGATGAATCGTGTTTTCTTTCTCGATTCTAAAACTTCTCGGAAAGCGAGAAAACCACACACGTTTAACCGTCCGGGAGGCAGAGTGCCAGCGCTAATCCGGCAAATGCAGCCGAAAACTATGAAAGCTAATGCACGTACAAAACAGAGAAGAAACTTAAGACACAACCGTATCCAAAGGCGTTCGAAACTCGACCCATACATCAACAGCTTTAAGAAAGTCGTAAATAAGCTTCATAAAGACGATATCACGGCAAGCCAAGACGTTTCTAATTGGCTTAAACGGTTGTTTTCCTCGGACCCTAAGGGAATCACACAAAACGGAGCAGGACCAAACAACATGCTCGATGTCGTGATAACCGTTTCCACAGGTGCACAAGTTGCTGTCGGCAAGCGTAATACGGAAGAGGTGGGCGTTTAACGAACAGTGATTGGACATGAGCCTGGACATTACACGAATAAAATCACGACTCACATCTAACCCTTTGAACCAGGGTTTGATCGACACCTGTGGGACAATAGAATGTAGCCATCTTCCCAGATCACCACCATTCCACTTTTGTTGCCAGTTGGCGAGGACTTGCTGACGAGAAATCGTGAAAAATTCGTGGTAGGCGATTTGTCGCTCGTAAATATCGCCTTCCATAGCGCCCACCTTGGCCAGCGAGTCCGCTTTCTCATTGCCCGGGATAGAGCAATGAGAAGGGACCCATACCAAGGTGATGATATGCGAGCTGTTTGATAAAGCACTCAATGACGATTGTATTTCCTGGAGGAAAAACGCCGAGTGCTTCATCAGCCTCATTGAACGCATAGCCTCCAGGGAGCTTAGGCTATCCGTAAAAATAAAATAATGGTCAGCAACGTATACCGAACACGGCTTTTGAACCTTGTATGAGACGCTATGAAGATCGTGGAATGCTCCAAAACCAGTGGACGTATTTATCACCGACCCATCTGTGAAAAATCTCTTCTTGGTGGGGACGTGGCGGTATTTGTTCGCAAAAATAGTTGGGACAATCAGGGAACGGTGAGGCTCTCGAATTC